AAGACGGCTAGTGGGAGCCGCAAACTCCTTGCAAAAAAAGAGAACAGGAAGCTTTGGCCCCAGGACTTTCTTTTGGTGAGCTACTGTGGAGAACTCAATTGTGAATAACCCACATATTGCCCGTTTGGAATACCTGGAGCAGTAAAGTCATCTCCTCTGTCCATCTGTGCTGGTGGGTCTGGACTGTAGCCATATCCATAATCTTTGCTGTAGGTGTGGCTCGAGGCTTCTGCAGGCTGGAATATGGGTTCAAAAGACTGAGAGTCTGGGTCACCCAACTCTGACTGAGGACCCTGGGATCTGTAAAGAAGGGGACAAAATGCTAAAGGCAATGCTGCTGACAGTTAATCTCAACAGGCCAGCATTTAATTAAGTGTATGTGATACTCACTTCAGTGGAGGCAGGCCTGACTTCTGTCTGATAATCTCGCCAAGAGGAGAGTTCTCCAGCCTCTTGAATTTTTCCTGACATGTTTTCATATATGACAGTTTTCCAGCCAGGTAGCCACAGAAACCAGCAACTGTAGGGTCAAACACAGTCAAAAAAAAAAGAAACGAGAAAACAACACAAACTGAGTTTAACAGAGAGGTTTTTCTTATTCTACTCAGTAAATACAGGGCAAGTGTGTGTATGTGTGTATCCCACATATTTAACACTTATAAACTTACAGGCAACTTTGGGTAAAGATCCAAATCTTGGAGATGCAGACAGAGCCCCTGCAAATTTAACACATTCATGTCAACTTGAGTATCAACATGTGACAATGTTCATTTAACTGATATTGTGCCGATTCCAGTACAGCAGGGATGTTAAACACATGGCCCTGGGGCCAGAATGATCTCGTCCCTCTGGATGCTTTAGAAAATGTGAAAATTACAAAGGAGAGCATAAATTTCAACATTTCACTGTGCTTTCTGTCAGTTTTAGAGCCATCTTACAAACAGAAATATCAGCAACCCATCAACAGCTCTGTCCTTGCCAGTCCCCAAGACTCCATAGAGGAAGTGGGTGAGAGCAGGATGTTAACCATGCTAATGTTCATTATGGACATTAGCATGGTCCACATCCACAGTCTCTTACCCCCTGCATGAGACTGTGGATGCCCTGAGCAGGTCCTTCAGCAGTAGACTGTTACAGACACTGTGTAGGAACGAGCACTATCGCAAGTCCTTCATCCCAACAGCAGTCAGAGTGTACAATGTAGACACAGAAAAAACACCATCTAAAAATACTTGTGTATAAATATAATGTCTAATTTACTTTTTCTTTCTGACCCTTGTAACAAGGGAATTTCCACAGTGTGGAATTAGTAAAGTATCTATAATTATAGATTTTTTTTTAAAATTATTGTTCTGATCTGTCCTATTGAAAACCAGATTGGACTGCTCTGAATGTGGCCCACTGTGTAAAATGAGTTTGACACCCCTGCTCCACAGTATGAACAACATTACCTCTGGCCACTAGGGCTTGGGTAATAGCCATGCTGATCACAGAGAAGGGCACCGCTGTGGAGAAATCATAATGATGTCAGTGTAAACACGACGGAGTCACAACAAACAACATTTTCACATCCTAAACCATCAAGCTGGCGTGCACGGGAAACTTACACCTGTAAAAAAAGCTCTCCTGGTTGCACTCTCTCAACACTCTCCTCTCTTCTTCTGTGGGGATGTAGTCAATGTTCAGCGGCGTCTGCAGGTTAACGCAAACACCTTACTGTTAGTTAACAGCCGCTAGAAGTCATAGAAATCCATGCAAACGTATCCATCTTCAAATTACTGAAATTAAAACGGAGGGCAACAAAGCACACACCCCTCTCCATAAAACTGCGCGTGCAGTTCATCCAAAGTCACTGCCAGCTACCGTAAGCTAACGTGTTAGCATCTAAATTAGTGCGTGTTTATCTCCATGTTTTACCTGCGCCGGTTGGTGCTGCCGCTCGCCCGGGAAACCTGTAGTGGAGGACGACATACTGACGATAATGTCCAAGCTTCCTGACACCTCAAAGCATGTGAACTAACATAGTATAAGCCACTCGGCGTACTGACTTGTCTAGAGTTTGGTACAATGTCATTGCTACAGATTGGTTGACATTAACCCGGAAGTTAAAGGAAAGTTGCATTTGTTTAGCTAACAAAAAAGGAGAAAAGAAAGCCTGTTAATCTCAGTTTTACTGCTGGAATGTAATCTCCCATGAACATGATTCCAAATAATAAAAAATAAACATCGTTGCAATTGTATTACTTTAAAACATCAGAAAGCGCTCTCAACTGGGTCTTTTATTTTGGAAAAAAAAAGGCTGTTAGAGCGGTACTAATGTTGTCAACCCGCTCCCTCTAGTGGAGGTGAACTATTTTCTGTCACTTTCCGGTTCACATCTTCATATTATGCAAACTATTTAATTGTTTTCATAATCATAACTGCCTTATTGTGTGGGTATTGGTTTGCTGGTAAGAAGAATACATTTTTTTAGAGCCACACGCCCAAAGAGATCCGATACTAATGAGAATTATTAGAACAATAGTTTCTTGCCTGTCAAATAGTGTAATCTTGGACATTTGTCATAGAGTCGGTTAAAGACGGCTAAAGACTCTATGACTCTACTTTATTACTAGTAGTCTGATTACTAGTAATAAAGTAGTAATCAGACTACTAGTAATAAAGTAGCTGAAGATACAATTTAAAAAGGGTTCTTTGCTAAGTTGTCTGTTATGTGTAGACACAACACTGTTCCATCTCTTAAATTGCACAGCCTTTTCATGAACAAATCATTCATAGGTCAGTATTAAGTGACTTAAGAAACAAAAAGCATTCCTGTGAAAATAGCCAGGTGCAAGTACTTTGATTTAATATAAACAAAAAAACAGCCATTGTCTTTTAAAAGACCTTGATAAAACTGAAGAAGCATTTCTCAAGAACATTTTAAAAACATGACAGGAAAGTCTGGCTGCTAGAAAGCAAAATGAGGGGTGACTCAAGATGTTTGCACAGTTTGTCACATAATCATATATGTCTCATCATATTACATTTTACAATACTGCAACTTTTATAATATACATTATGCATGCTACGTAATATTTCAATTGAATAACACATTACATTTTACTATAATTTTGTCCATGTTGTGCTGATTATTTAGACTTTACAGACAGCAAAATACTTTCCAGAGTTGCACAACTAATTTTTCTGTACTTCGTTAGTGATGTATCAGTTTAGGAACCATTAATGGCAACTTGATTTTCATTAAAAATAATATACAGGGCCACAAATGGGTGATAAGAGCCAAATTGTGCAGTGCTGTAATATCATGGTATAGTGCCTAGATGATGCTGTTGCACTTGTAAACTGAAAAAGACTTTGCCTCACATCCTCCTGAGAACCAGCCTATTAATTTATGTCCTCTTTAATGGACAATTGTTTTTGTTCTATGTCTTTGGACATATTTGAGCTACCATAATAAGCCCCGTTGTGTTCAAAAGAGAACATCCTGGCTTTTCCAATGATATCTCATGGATAAACATTATTTATACTGTGTCCAAGCTGGGTCAACTTTACTGTTATTCCTGAGCCCAAGTGGTACAGGAAGCCAAAAGAAGGACAAAGTGCCTTGGGTGGCCTCTTTCATCTCCAAATAGGCGGGACATCACAAAAGAGGTTCAACTAAAACATAATTGTTTACTTGGTTTTCAGAAGGACATGCCATGTAGAGGCACATATATGCATCAAAGGTCTTTTAATGCTTCTATTAAGGAGAAGATCAAGCCTGTGAATCTTTTTATCCTAAGCATGTTCAAAATAAGTACAGCAGAAGAGAGACCACAATCAATAAAAGTAAAAGAAAACTAAAAGACAATGTCAGTTGTATCCTTTGTCACCTTAGTTATCTTCCATTTGGTTTTACTGCATGGCAGGAGATGCAAGGCTAAAGGGTATATGTGCCTTAACTGTGTTGGTGTGCGATGGAGGTGCTCCTGTTTAGGGGTAAGGCCAAACTGGAATGCTAAGGCATAATCAGCCAATTAGAACTGTAGCTGGGGAGTTGTAATTTGTGGGCTTTTGGGACAACCAGACAGGCACCTCAGTGCACTGGGTTGCAGAGGGGCACAGCGTGGCTTCTGGGACAATCAATACTGGCAACGGTTTCATTAGGTCACTGCAGAGTTACTTGAGCTAACCACACTGTTACATAACTGGGCCACCCAAGTAGCTCTAAGCTGTGGTATAGGTACAAATTACTTGCTGAGTTAACTGTGGCACTTTGGTTTGTTTTTTGGATTCATATTAACTACCCCCATTTCACCCCCCCCCCCCCCCCCCCCCCCCCAAAAAAAAACAAAAAAAAACAAAACAAAAAAAAAACAGTTACACATTTGCTTGGTTAATCTATCTAAAATCAATTATGTCTACTAAAGCAGTCCTCTTACACAGAATTCCTTTATGAAAGTTAAGGTGTTCAGTATTTGTTGAAAGTGCTTCAAAAAAATCAAATTAGCACTTCTTTAAAATGGAAAATTATGAGTTCATATTTATTTCATGTACATCCACATTGACAAGCTGAACCTAATAAATTAGCAACAGAGCATTTGGTCAGATGGGAAGGATACATGGAAATGTCCCACAGGGGCTTGTTGTGCACTAGAGCAGTGGATTCTGGGTTCCCATGCTGGCGCAGCTACCATGGAGATTCAGTGCATCACTCTGGCGCAGATTGACTTTTTTTGTTTGTTATGAAGAGTTTTATGGAGCTAAACTTAATTCACTGGCAGTTTGAAATATTGACCAATGGGTAGCTGGATTAGGAAAATCAATAATTTCTATCCAAAAATGCTCCAAAAATACACTCAAGTTGGACTTGTATGACATTATAGACCCACCCCATCCCCAATACAGTCAATGATCACACCCCACTGCCCTGTGTGGTATAAATAAATCTTTGTCAGGGCATCCATTGTGTCTGTCACCTCTTTCCCATGTTAATCTCAGGGTCCACCAGCTGGAGATATCCTCACTCTGAGAGCTGTGCATGAGACATGCAACGAAGAATTATTTTTTTTAACAGCTAAATTAAGCACAGAGTTTTTGCTTTAAGAGTTCATGTTTTAAATGGATGATCATATTTCCAAACGGGACACGCAAACAGAACTGATTATGAGTTTTGCGTGCAAAATGTACAAAGTACATCGGTAGGGTAAGTTTAGCAGCAGGTGTGGAGGTGCAGTTGAAAGCTGACGCCACCAGCCTGAGACTTATCAGGTACAATGTGAGTTGGATTGCAACACCACTGACAAAAAGATTAAAGCCGAGTCAGGTAAGAATAATCAAAGTTTGGAAGGTGTGTTTATCTTATCATCGTGACGGAAGTGTTCCCAGTGATGTGAACACTGCACATCACATTTTTTTATCTGCACAAAGGCAGCATTTTTAAACCGGAGGCTGAAGTAAAAAGTGCACGGGAAGGATGGACACACTACACCCGCCACAGGTGAGGACAGACATGTCTCAGTCAATCGTCTAATTATTTTTGCTGCTGTTAACTGAAAACTGAATGCAAAACTGGAGTATTTAAGTTAATAAAATTATATGATGGATTGGGAGAATCAGTATGGGTCAAGAGTTCATGAACTGCAACATTTGTATGGTAACACGAGGATGTGTGGAGATTTTTAAATTATATTTATTTATAAATTCTTAAAATATGTTTTAACATACATACTGCTCTGTATGCATGTGGCTCTTAATTCATGTGGAAAAAAAACACGTTTATTGTTACTGAGCTGGAATTCAGAACAGAAAACACTGAAATTAAGTCTGAAAATGATTGGATGTGGTCCACTGAAGCCCAGCATGTGAAAACTAAAACTGACGTTCAATATTAGCTGTGCAGTAATCCTCTTATGAACAAGTAATGATAGAAAACAGGGCACAGCTTAGACAAATGTGACACAAAGATCAATACATGTATCAATACATGGCATGAGACAAGATGTGTGTGTGTGTGTGTTATTCCTGAAGCCAATACCTGCTAGAGAAAATTAGTTTAAAAGCGAGGAGCCGATACAGCTGAATGAGGTTTTCTGTATCTATGCTTAGTTTTCTGCATTGTTAGTTAACGGCAATCATCACTCTAACAAATTGCAGCAAAAATAGAGGAAATTTTACATAGCAATGCATCATTCTGTGTAAAAGCTTGCTGCATTTAGGGATAACAGCAAGCTACTTTACAGTTTATGTATAATATGGAGTTTTTTCTTTGTGTTATCTAAATATTACAATAGTGTTGATATAATTTAAGTATTATTTATGCTAAAGAATAGTTTGAGAATGACTAAAGCTAAATGAGTGAAAATGAATCTGATTTTTTTTCAGCAAATGGCTACAAAAAACAAATGTAAGGAAGACAACGATGAGAAAAATGGATATAAAAGTAAAGGTGTGTAAGGAAAAGCTACTGATTGATTTAATCAGAATTACATGTGTGTGTGCAGCAGGACAAAAATGGTCTTTTTTCTCATGTTTATAGAAATCAAAGCGAGCCCTGCACATTCCACTGCGGCTCTGATCGTGGATGAGCCGGAGGAGACAGATCCATGGGACCTGCCAGAACTGAAGGACGCGGGTGTCCCGTGGTCAGGTGTAGACTCGTTGTTTCTAATAGTACAAGCAATGTCTCATCAAGGACTGTGATAAGACAGTCCTGATAAGATGAGCACATTGTTAATAACTATTGCATTTACAAATCAGGCCTAGTGATTAAGAACATTACCTGTACATCACACCATAAAGAGCTGCAGTAAAACACAAAGTCCTGCAGCTAAAGAGTTACTGTTTGTTACAGTGATAATTAAAATAGTCACTGAGAAGCTTTTATATTTGATTTTTAAACAAAGTGAACCCCCCCCCCCCCAATAAGTTTATGTGTTTAGGAGTTTTTCCTCATGTACACCATATTAATTTTCAGTGTGTTAATATTCAGTGTGTCCTATTAAAGGTGTAAATGCTTTTGCAAACACTTGTTTCATATTTCGAGTTTGTCTGTAAGTTTGATGATTTTGTAAATATTTATTTAAAAACAGCTTTAAGTGTTGATCTGTATAAAACTAAAAGAATAAGACATAAAAGGTTTTCATGTTTTAAAACATTAATACAAACTCTAGTTTGCTTCTGGATCATCATTACCTCATTTTAAGAAGTTCAAACATTGATCTGATTACTTGAACAGTGTACCAGTAATAAATGGTAGTGTTAGTGATAGCAGTGAACAAACGTCCTGTTCAGATAAGATAAATTAGGTAAATTTGCTTTGACTGCAATAGAGGTTAAGATGAACTCTAAAATTATAGAACATAATACTACTAGTATATAAAATTATTAGTGCTGTCAGCGCTAGTCTTGTTAAAATGATGTTAACGCCATAACCGCATTAACGTGGCAAATCTCCGTTAGCGAGTTACTGCGTGGGGCTGCACGGCGTCAACGTGTTAGCGTGGTTAGGTCGTTAACGCATTAACGCCGTGCAGCCCCACGAGATTAACGCTGACAGCACTAAAAAATATACATGAATTACTATATTCACTTAGTTGTTACCCTCCTCTTTGAATCCAGCGCCACTGGACTATAGAGTTTACAATAAAGAAGAAGAAGGGGGGGGAGTAAGGTGTATTTTTGTGTAATAGTGCTTTTTTTCAGTCAGTTATTTCAGACATGTTGATCTTGTATATTTTGCTTTGTCTCTTTCTCTTTGTTTCAGCTCTGGATACCAAAGGGAAGGTCCTCAGAGTGCTGATATCAGTGGGGAAGCTGATTCTGCTTTTAGGTTTCCTCTATATGTTCGTCTGTTCTCTTGACATCCTGAGCTCAGCTTTCCAGCTTGTGGGAGGTACTCACTCTTAAACTTATCAGAAGCTGTGAGTTAATGTAATATTGAGCAATAAACTTGCAAGCTATAGTCCTTTTACCACAGCAGACATCTTGTTTTTAAGACACTGTGCAAGTCACCTTTAGCAGTACTCAGTTCTACTACTGTTTAAAATGTACCCGATCACCAATCCCAAGCATAATATATAATATTTTTATATTCAAAAATAAAATATGGTATGAATGTGAAAATGTTCACTCTCTACTTTTCACCTGGTCCAGGTAAAACGGCAGGTGACATCTTTCAGGACAACGAAATTTTGTCCAACCCTCTGGCTGGTTTAGTCATTGGTGTTCTGGTCACCCTGCTGGTCCAGAGCTCATCCACTTCCTCCTCCATAGTTGTCAGCATGGTCTCGTCTGGTTGTGAGTATGAACTTCTCCCCTCTACCAGCACATACAGAGACACATCCATGCATAGAAAACTCATCATGAGTGAGGATGATATTGAAGGAGGTCTTTGTGTCTCCACAGTGTTAACAGTTCAGGTAGCCGTTCCTATCATCATGGGCACCAACATCGGCACCTCGGTCACAAACACTCTAGTCGCCATGACGCAGGCTGGTGAACGCAACACTTTTCGGAGGTAATGAATTTGTGCATCATGGAAGCTTCCTTTCCTTCTGCTAAACAGAAAAAAGTAACCCAGGAGAAAATATGTGTGTGTTCTTCATTATATTGTAGTAATATACAGAAATATATACCTTGCGAATCTTGTGGGCATTCTCCCACGGTATCTAGAGGAACACCCTGATGAATTATAGCTCTGTTCAGACGTTTACATGCACTCATCATGGGCATCGATGTATGGTTATTCGGGGATTTCCATGTTTTCTTTTAACTGCTCTTTTTCCAGAGTGAACTTATTGTACAGAATACATCTTTACTGACTTAAAAAAAGGATTGAGTGCATAAATTTGAATTTTCTGTGATCTACACATGGTCAAAACTATATACGCAGGATCAAATATATACTTTATCCACTCCAAAACTAGTTTTGATGTGTGAACGTCCAACTGTTTCCAAGTTTCAACCATCTAGCTGTTGCTTTGAGATGAAGTTAGAGAATGTGTAGGACCTTTAGCTTCTCCTTTGCTTCACCATATGGGGGTGGTGTTGAAGGTCTCAGTCCATGGCGACATAATACTCACTTCACTGACCGTTATGTGGTATTTCAGAAGTTTCTAGTTCATGGCAGGCTTTTTCCAGAATATCTTAAGCAATGTCTTCTCATCCCGGGTAACAGTTTGGGACTTCCTCCAGAACTCTACAGTTCTTCTTCTTTGCTGGCAAAGAGAAATTATCAGCCGTAGTCTCTCATGATCAAAAAATTCTTGCTTTTATTTTTTTTTTAACATTTAAAGTCAGTAAAATGTATTCTGTACAATCATTCCACCCTGAAAGAAGAACAGTTCAATGAAGTCATTAAAGCCAAAAATTACCATGGCATTCATGCCAATGATAAATACATGTAATAATAATAATAATAATAACAATAAATTTTATATATAGGCACCTTTCAGACCCTCAAGGTCACCTTACAGTAACACGTAAACAATACCATAAAAAAAGATAAGAAAAATGTATATATAGCAAACATGGTAGATAAAATTTAGACATAAACAGTCATAAAAGTATAAAGGCAAATATAAAAACTGGGCAAGGTAAAAATGGACTCAGACAGATCAGGTGTATGCAATTCTAAATAGATGAGTCTTGAGACGTGATTGAAAAGTGGTGAGACAGTGTGTGGTCCGGAGAGCAAGTGGAAGTGCATTCCAAAGTCTCGGGGCAGAACAACTAAAGGCTCTGAGTCTAATGGTAGTCAGGCGAGCAGGTGGAACTGACAGAAGGGAAGCTGAAGAAGAGCGGAGTGTACGGAGGGGTGAGTATGTATGGAGAAGATCGGATAGATATGGAGGAGCAAGGTTATGAAGCGCTTTGAAAGTGAGAAGCAGGATCTTGAAATTGACACCGAGGTAAATTGGAAGCCAATGGAGCTGTTTAAGAACAGGTGTTATATGTTCAGTGGATCTAGTTCTGGAAATAATACGAGCAGCTGTATTTTGAACCAACTGCAGTTTATGGAGGGATTTATGAGGTAAACCATAGAGAAGAGAATTACAGTAATCCAGACGAGATGTGACAAGAGCATTGACAAGTATGGCGGTACTGATATTATTTATATGTGCTGTGAAGGACAGAGTGCTATCGAGGATGACACCAAGACTCTTAACCCGAGGGGAGGGTGTGACAACAGAGTTATCAATGGATAACGAAAGACTGGTTGGAACTGTTTTGATCTGGTGCCTATTAAAATTAATTCTGTTTTATTGCCATTAAGTTTAAGAAAGTTGTGAGTAAACCAGACCTTGATTTCACTTAAACCGTCAGAAATGGATGTGGGTGGGAGAGTAGCTGTGGGTTTGGAGGATAGGTAGAGCTGGGTGTCATCTGCGTAGCAGTGAAACTGGATGTTATGCTTCCTAAAAATATTACCTAGGGGTAGGAGATAGATGATAAAAAAGTAAAGGACCCAGGACAGAGCCTTGGGGTACACCGGAATTAACTGGAGTAGATACTGAACTGTAATTGAACAAACTGTGAGCGGCCAGAGAGATAAGAAGTAAACCAGGTGAGTACTGTACCATTGATGCCAATAGATGCTAATCTGTGAAGGAGGATGCGGTGGGACAAAAGCTGCTGTAAGGTCAAGGAGAATGAGAATGGATATAAGTCCAGAATCAGCTACAAGCAAAAGATCATTGGTGATTTTTACTAGGGCTGTTTCTGTACTGTGACATGAACGGAAGCCGGACTGAAACTGTTCATACAAGTTATTTCCAATGAGATGATGATGAACCTGTGCAGCCACTATCTTTTCAAGAATTTTTGCTAGGAAAGGGAGATTTGAACTTGGCCTGAAATTTTTTAGATTGGAGAGATCTGAACCATTCTTTTTCAGTATTGGAGTTATTATTGCAGTTTTAAGAGAAGAAGGAACAGAACCAGATATAAGAGAGGAGTGTGCGATATTAGCAATCAGTGGGGCAAGAGACGGGAATGAGAGTTTAACAAGATTTGTTGGCAGTGGATCAAGTTTACATGATGATGACTTTAAGTTAGTAATTATGGAAGATAGCTGAGTTATTGTGGGAAGTTCAAAATTGGATAGAGAGGATGACAGCTGAGAAGGACAAAAAATGCAGATAGAACAATTGACCATTTCACAGGACGAGGGCAATTGCTGATGAATAGTCTCAATCTTGGTTTAAAAAAAGTCCATAAATTTGTTGCAAACTGTGGCAGAGTGTGTATGTATGGCAAAGGTATCTGGGGTTTAACAATATTATGCAATGTAGAAAACAAAGTGCGAGTGTTTCCTTCAGCGGATTCAATAACAGAGGTGTAGTAAGCAGATTTAGCATGATGAATAGCTTCTTTATAGTGTTGTATATGACTGAGATACATGTCTTTGTGAATAGTAAGTCCTGTTTTCCTGGATAGACGTTCCAGGCAGCGTCCAGTAGCTTTAAGTTGGCGAAGTTCAGATGAGTATCAGAAAGAAACAGTCCGAGTTTTTTGGGGAGCCAAGGTATCTAAGAGGTTGATAAGTTCATTGTTATAGTGTTATAGTCTATGGAAGCTGAGGCATCAATGGTAGGTAAGTTGTTAATGCCATGGGAAAGAGCTGATAGATCAATGCTCCTAATATTTCTAAAAGTAATTGAGCGGTTTTGTTTATTTTTTACGGAGCCCCGCAGGGGACATGGGAGAAAAAAAAATTAAGACAGACTTTTGCGAGATCTCGCAAAACTATCTCGGGATCTCGCAAAAGTTTTGCGAGATCTCGCAAAACAAACTCGGGATCTCGCAAAACAAACTCGGGATCTCGCAAAACTTTTGCGAGATCTCGCAAAAGTTTTAGCCGCATTCTTCCCGTTAGCTTCGAGCTAACGGGAGGTCGAGACCCACTACAGCCGGGAGGAACACCGCTTTCCCGGCACATCGTGCCTCGACCTCCCCGTCGGCTTCGAGCCGGCGTCCGAAGAATGCGGCTAAAAGTTTTGCGAGATCTCGCAAAACTTTTGCGAGATCCCGAGTTTGTTTTGCGAGATCTCGCAAAACTTTTGCAAGATGTGATGATCTGTCCTAAAAAGATGAACATAGATAAATTAAAAGTGTGATGAACTTACTGTGAAGTTATACATATTTCCGCCAGAATTACTTTATTGTATTTTTATGGATACTGTTGTCTGCATTCAATTTTAGATAACTAATCCTGTGAATTTTATTTCATTTTATGATGTTTTGTTCTTTTCTTGACTTGTTTACTTAGCTGTAAATGAATATTAATCGGTCTGTTTTATTACTCTCTTATTATCTGTATTATTATCTTACCTCTGAAGCTCTTTGAACTCCAATAACCTGCTACTATGTAACTGACAAACAGCCTTCTTTTCAACCTGAGATTCTTAGGCCTCCGGGAAATAAAATAAATACAAAATTAACCATGTAATATTTAATAAAAAATAAATAAATCAACAAACAAAATAGTTAATTAATTTTTATTTTATGACTCTCAGGTTCAGAGAAAAGATAAATGGTACACATTTCCTAGAATTCTTTACCTGGAAAGCAGTGATATCACGCTTTCATCAAAAAGATCAAAGGTCATTGTTGTCTTGCTTTTGTGTTTCATTATACACTTAGAGCTTTCGCAGGGGCCACAGTGCACGACTTCTTTAACTGGCTCTCAGTGTTGGTGCTGCTGCCTCTGGAGGTAGCCAGTGGTTACTTGTTTGTGGTCACCAAGCTCATCACTGATTCATTCGAAATCCAGAGTGGAGAGGCCCCAGATCTGTTAAATGTGATCACTGACCCCCTCACTGAATCAATCATAGAGGTAAGATGTCATTATTATCTTAATTTTCCAAATAACAAACAAACATGCAGCTGCCTTATTCAGTTTTTGGTCATCAATAAGGTGAAAAAACATGCTTGACAGGCCTGGATGATACAGTAAGAGTGGCCATGCATAACATCTATATATAACAGCAGAATTTCACCTCTATCTAAAATGACATTGAGAACACAAAGTATTAAGTAGCACGATTCATTTCCTGAAAGATGAATGCTGACATGAATGTCTGTAGTCTATTGCTTTTTTTCACACTCTTAACATCAGACAGATAAGATGCTCATATATAAGACTGTTATCTCTCATGGTTTATAGTTCACAGTTTATTTCCTCCTCCCTTTTTCCTTCTGACTCAGCTGGATGCATCTGTGATTAGTGGGATTGCCACCAACGATCCAGAAGCTAAAAACAAGAGCCTCATAAAGAGATGGTGCCAAACCTTCACCAACACAGTAAGACCAAAGCATGTCAAATATATCCAAATATACTCCAAAGAACTAAGAATTAAATGCTGAATATATGTTTTCCACCCTGTTTCAGACCTTAATGAATGTCACAGTTCCTGGTCCAGAGAACTGTACCTCTCCTTCTCTGTGCTGGGTTGATGGCAATTATACCTTCACGCTAAAGAACATTTCTCAGACATACAATATAAAGAAATGTAAGACCACTATTTACTTTAATTTAATTATGTAAATAAAGGAATAATGTTTCCATCACAATATGATAGACAGTCTCCTTGTAGAGACATTCTGTGTACTTTTCATTGTCCTTGTGGGACAGTAGTCTGCCCAGATTAAGCATCTCATATACATATATATACATTAGATATACATCAGATGTCATCATAATAATAGTGCAATTTACTAATAGCACTGTGAGTCTATCAGTAAATTGCATACAAAAGTTACTACAACATTATATGAACAAAAGTAGTGGGACACCTACACATTATACCTACAGGAGCTGCTTCAGCTTGGAGACTCATGCCATGAAGCTTCCAGCACACAGTTTTTGTGCTGATGTTAATGCCAGAGGTAATGAGCTGTTCAGTTATTGCATCAGTAGAGCACCGGTGACTTTTATGCACCACGCTCCTCAGCACTCAGTTTATCAGGTCTACCTCTTTAAGGCTGAGTTGCTGTGTTTCCCGAATGCTTCCACTTTGCAACAAAACTACTTCGACTTGATCGTGGGAAAGAAAAATGTTACAAACTGACTTGTTGCATTGCATTGCAGTACCTTACTCAAATTCAGTGGGCCCATTCTTTTACAAATGTTTATAATGGTAGACCTATAAACATTTTTACACTCCTGTGGCAATGAGGCTGAATGAAACACTTGAATTCAAAGACATGTTAAGACATGTAGGCCAGTAGTTTTGTCCACATTGTGTATTTCTTTCTTGTAATTATGTGCGTGTTTCTGTGTGTTGCCAGGTACACACCTCTTTGTGGATGTGAATCTGTCTGATATGGCGGTGGGTCTGATTCTGCTGGCTCTCTCTCTGCTCGTGCTCTGCTCCTGCCTGATCCTCATAGTCAAGCTGCTCAACTCTATGCTGAAGGGACAGGTGGCTGTTGTCATCAAGAAAGTCCTCAACACCAGTGAGCATCACTGCACTCTATAAATTCTGTAAAAAAAAACTGGATGTGATGTGTAGAATAATACATGAATGTTCTTGTATCTGCACAGATTTCCCATTTCCCTTCGGTTGGGTCACGGGCTACATCGCCATTTTAGTCGGTGCTGGAATGACCTTCATCGTGCAGAGCAGCTCAGTGTTCACTTCTGCCATTACGCCACTAGTTGGTGAGGTTAATTATGCATTCATCCATTACTTCTATCACCTCCATGTATTTATTATTAAAAACAGCATTGATGCACGATTGAAAATATTTGTTTCCTTCTGAATATTTTTTTCTAAAGATTTCTATATCTTGTTTGTCTTCTTTATGTGACTTTTTAGGCAGTAAAGGACAGAATCTGTCTGAAAGGAGTATTGTTCTTTTCTTGATATTTTTGTTTATCCATAATGACCAGGACCTAAATCTAATGACTGTAATATCATGGTGAAGCAGATAGTGATGGTTGTCAGACACATGGTGAAAATATGTATTCCAACCATGTCGTTTTTAATTCAATAGGCATTGGTGTCATCAGTATAGAGAGAGCGTACCCACTGTGTCTTGGTTCAAATATCGGCACAACCACCACAGCCATTCTGGCAGCCATGGCTAGTCCCGGAGAAACTCTGGCTGACGCTCTACAGGTCAGTCATTCCCACAAAAACACTCTCCTGTCCTGGTTAACATTAAATGTGTCAGTAATTGTAATTGTTTAGAACCACTACAAGCCTTTCTAAGGTTTTATACTGTACTAAAAAATCATTTTCTTAATTTATAATAATTTAAATATCATTGCAGGTACATCTTCTCATGAGAAATTATGTCATATTTGCTATTTAACATATTTCCTATGGTTACCTACATATTAAGGTCTGCAAAAATCCAAATGACTAATTTTACCCTAATAATAATAATATTTTATCCAACTAATTTAATTTTTATTCAACTGTGACATTTAGCTGAACTTTAAATTTGTGGTTTGAGGGAGAAATTGGGTGCCTCCATGAAAATTTGGGACAAATCGTTGTGGAAACAGCTGTTGGAAATATAAACTTACTGGACACTTCATTAGGTACACCTTATCAACTACTTGTTAATACTATCCAGAAAAGGCCGTTCTTTAAATTTGAACAAAATGAAAACTAAAAGACTTTCAAATAGCATGAGCCAGTATTTTATTCACAACTCCAAGCATAGATAAGATAACAAATGTTAAAACTGAGAAATCTTATAATTGATTAACAAAATGAGCTCATTTCAATTATGGGTGATTTCAGTAATCTCGACTTGTTGGTGCCAGATGAGCTGGTCTGCATATTTGAGAAACTACTGGGATTTTCCCAACAACTACATAAAAAATAGGTCAGAGGAGAATAGCCATACTGCTTCAAGCTGATAGGTACAATTTAAATAACCACCAATTAACGACTCTCAATGCACACCACATCGAACCTTGAAGCAGATTGGCTACAGCAGCAGAGGACCACACCAGATGCCCCTCCTGTCCGCTAAGAACAGGAAACTGAGATTACAGTTCACACAGGTTCTGCGACATTCAGATGGTTGGGACAGAATTAGCTGTAAACAACATACATGGCTCCATTGTGCTTTACATCAAAGAGTAAGGCTGGTCGTAGTGTTGAAATGGGGTGGGAGATATTTGGCACATTTTGACCCCCTAGTACCAACTGAGCATCTTCTGCTGGCTGCATCCAGCAGGATAACACACCATGTCATAAAGCTCAAACTATGTCAAACTGGTTTCTTGAACGTGACAATGAGTTCACTGTACTCATCCCAGCCTCCTCAGTTACCCGATATCAATCAAATAGAGCACCTTTAGGATGTGGCAGAATGAGAAATTCATATCATGGATGTGGAGCTGACCTATCTGCAGAGGTTGTACGATGCTTTCGTCAATATAGACCAAAATCTCTGAATCTTGTTGAATCCATGTCAGGAAGAATTGAAGTCCAAGCAAGGTGTACCTAATAAAGTGACCAGTATCTTTGTGGCTCTGACATCTCGTGCCAAATCATTTATTTTCAATAAAAAAGAAACTTATCAGGAAATTATCAACCTGTAAAAGATTACATTTTTTACTCTGAATTTGTAGCAAGCTACCTCTTTGCACTTACACTGATGCTTGTTGTTTGTTAACAATTCAGATTGCCCTCGTGCACTTCCTGTTCAACATCTCTGGCATCATTCTGTGGTATCCCATTCCATTTACCCGCGTCCCTATCCGGTTGGCTAAAGGTCTGGGCAACATCACGGGCAAGTACCGCTGGTTTGCTGTAGTCTACATCATCTGCTGCTTCTTCGTTTTACCGCTTCTCATTTTCGCCCTGTCGCTGGCTGGCTGGAAGGTACTGGTGGGCGTGGGTGTTCCTCTACTCATCATGTTGATCATAATCATTGTGATCAACATACTACAAAAGCAGAAACCTGGGTGGCTGCCTGCAGTCCTGCGATCCTGGGACTTCCTCCCACTATGGGCACACTCCCTGGCTCCCTGCGACAAAGCAGTTGGGGTTTTAATCGCAAAATGCTGTTGCTGCTGCAAATGCTGCCAAGCTGCATCCGACGACCAAGAAGACAGAGCAGAACAATTGGAAAATAACAAGACAACACACACAGCAGTATATGACAATCATGCAATGAGTGTAGAGAATGAAGCGGAAGATGGGATGAAAATAGAGTTAAATATCCTGAAAATGACCACGCTTTGAGATTTGATATTTTAAGTGCAGTTGTGGTCAGAAGTTTACATGCACTCGTCATGGCCATGAACGTAACTGTGATGTTGGAGTTCTAATGATTTCTTTAACTGTTGTTTTTCCAGGGGGGAATTAAGCCAACTTACAGGACTTTAAAAAGCAAGAACTGGGTGCAAGTTTGAATGTATTTTGAATTTTCTCTAATCCACACATGATCGAAATTATACATAAACTCATTTAGGTTGTGCTGATAGTTGTACAATGTTATTAAAACGCCTTTTTTCAATTCTTCAATTCAAACAATTCTCTGTAAGTACAAGTTATTTGTCACCACTTTGCCAACTTCTCGAAGAAGACCCCAACTCTCACCCCTTAGATGACAGGGAATTGTTCAGGAACATGTTGAGAAACCACAAAGGCTCAAGCCTGCCATGAACTGGAAACTGCTGGAAAACCAGCAGTAGGAACTGAACAATTGAAGCATGTTTTACATTGCCATGGACTGAGACGGCGCTGACCAAGACAGAAGTCCTTGCTCCAAAATCGACACCTTAAACAACTGATCTACAATTTTCAGCTGCCCACGTGGACAAGCCAAATGCCAAATTTTATGGTCAGGTGACACAAAGATTGAGCTGTTTGATCACAATGACAAGAGGTATGTTTGGATGGTTAAAGGTGAGGCTTTCAAACCTAAGAACACAAATTTATGGATTATGCTTAAAAGCCAGGTTTTTGCCAGGAGACCAGCCAATTTAAACCAAACTCTGCCAAGACTGATGGATGCCAAAAGTATCTGGTCGGACTGCAACTTGATAAGGGACATTTAATCAAATATGTCATTTTGACGCTTTGTGGATGAAGAAATTCCAAAATAAATTCAAACATGTGCACCCTATTGATATTTTTTACTGTCATTAAAGATGTATGCTGTCATTCCACCATGGAAAAAGCAGTTCCAAGAAATCATTAAAAATCCAAAAATCTCCACGATGTATTTAAAGTTCCTACCACAACTGTATGTGTGTGACTGTGTGTGATGCAAAGAAACATACTAATGGACATACTGTAGTGTAACATAGGAAATGACTGCGTAGACGAATGCACTAAAACGTTACATCGTTAACTGAAGTGACCTTGAAATACTAGTGGAAATCTATAATTATATTAATGTCAGCAAATCCTATGAAAGGATGAAAACCAACCACTTTAGTTTCTCAGAGTCATCATATCGCGGCCCCAAACCTAACCCTAACACTAAGGCTAGCCAATCAGAATGTGTGTATGTGTGTTTTTTTCACAGAATATGTAATATTTGTTTTGGGTCTTTTTTAAATTTTTTTCTCCTGAAAGATCCTCCTTTACTTTTTCCACAGCATACTATTAGAGTGGGGTTAGGGTTATTAACTATGATGACTTAGATCTCGGAGTACTAATACTTCATAATTTAGCAAGTTTATGATTTTAACATCAAATCCGTTTGGCCTTGCTGAAGACATAAATGCAGCAAACATCAGTGCAATTCTATTAACCTTATAAAGGACATCATCATTTCTTAAAGCAGCTTGCTACTTTAATTGTTTTTACCTTCATTATTTAAATGAAGGGAAATTTTTATTTGACTATTTTTCTGCTGTAAATCAGGGCACAAGACAGGGAACTGTGACAGTGCCAGTCAAATACTTTCACCCAGACATGTTGATTTTCGCTGTTTGAAATTTTGCTATAAAAATGCTTTTTTTATTTATGAGTCCTGCTGAGTTGGTGAATTTAAATTTTAATAGTTCCCTGGTTCATGATTAAACACTTGAAAAACCCAAAGGCTTCAACTAAACTTTGTGTTGTGTCATTGTGTCAGTATGCCATCATGATTTTCTGCCTGCTCATTGTTTGCTGATGAACATTTAGCTCATGTGTATAGCCTCAGAACTGGTAGCATCGCTATAAAGTGGTGCATGATGTGACAATTTTTAGCTACACAGACAAAGCTAGACTCAATCATGTTGACTTTGGTCTTTTAAATCAATTTGTGTGTGGATATAAAAATGCAGAATATCACCAGTCTTATCCTTTTGACATTTGAGTAACTGTATTGTCATGAACTAACATAACATAACATTTAACGTGCTAACTGTGGAGTCTGAGATGTAGTGCTTGTTTTTTTGTTTTTTGTTGTTGTTTGTTTGTTTTTTTGCAGTTTCATTGACACACCAACCTGTCATGTTTACCTAGTTTCATCATTTTCCCATTTTTGTATTTTTATACAGAGACAAAAAAAATCACTGTGTATAAAAGACACATTCAGATCTTTAAAACATCGTTTTAAGGTGTAGTATAACTTTGTAATTGAAGAGGTAATTGTATTCAAGGAATATATAGTCCGGAATTAGATGAATGCACATCTAACAATTTGTTTTTGTTTGTTTAATTGTGAGTTGTCCCTCCCAAAAAAAACTGTGTTAAAAAGGAAAAAGAATAAAATAATGCTAGATTCATCAATTGGTATGGTTTCCTGACCCGTTTATATGCTGATCATTTCTATATAGCCCTGTTATCTGTGTTATTTGTTTCTGAGCTAACCAAAGTATAAGGAGGGTGTTCAAAGTGTTAAGAGAGATAAAGACAGAGCCCTGCAGTGGTAAGAGACACATCAGCAGGGGTCCAGAATACAAGGTCATCACGTGGTTCATGTAGGCTTTAGCTAGTTCCAGGAAGTGCATAATAAGTGAATACAGAGAGACAGAGCACTGTTTCTCCAGAACTAGCAGTCAATAAATGCATTTATCTACACACACACACACACACACACACACACACACACACACACACACACACACACACACACACACACACACATGTATAGAGTCTAAAAATATCATAAACTTTGTTAGTATTATTGAATTATTCTTTCATACTTTTTAAAATGACTGTCCAACGGTCCTCTCATTGTACGTTCACTGTATTGTTAGATCTGTGAAGTTTTAATTATTGATGTTTTGTTATTTATTTTTTTTCTAGACATCATCTACATCTACAAGATTGTATGTGTTTAGTTATTTCTTACCTATTTCCTTGATTATTTTCTTTACATTCTACGTTTTGCACAGAATTTAGGTCAACAGTAATTTTTCTCCTAAATGTGCTTTTTAAAAAAATTAGAGTAGAGTTGTACCATCACACCCGGTATCTGGGAAACCTTCACTGTCACGTGTCAGTGAGCCATGTGCAGGGAACATGAGATGCACCATCAATATATCAATAAAGAGGGTGTGCAACTGTGTCAAAGCACAACACGGGAATCACGACAGTTTCCACATGGTCAACTGACATTACAGTTTTTTACAGCTGCTAGGACACATTTCACAATACTTAGGTCACTTTTGCAAAACTCTTCACACAATCCTCCTAACTGACCGTCAGCTTGGCAAAGCAGTTCATTTCACATTCAAAATGCACTACAACTACCAAAACACTTTATCCAGGTCTCAAATAAACTCATTCTTCCAGAACACTAGCAAAGGTTGACAGCCGACAAACACACTTTGTCACCCACAAAACAATGACCTAAAAAACACTAACAACATGTAGCATTACAGTGTTTTCTTGTGTAAAACAAGGACACATCTGTTTATAATTTCAATGTATGTTACTGGAATGAATCAGACATCATGCAGAATTCGTTAATATTTGTTTATGTATTATTTTTTTGCACCAAGTAATCCCAAAATACAAGAATTTGTATACACACCATCCACTGATGCACATACAATAGTAATGCTAATCTACTCTGTCTTCTCCATTTGGCCACAGGTTCTCATCCACATCACATCTTGTGTCATCTAGAGCAATACACCTAGGCATCCCTGGCAATCTTCTGCTGATATGTCCAGGCATCCAGCATTCATTGCATCCAGGAGGGACATTTGATCATGTGGATGATGGTCGTAAACCTTCCACCGCCATGAGGAAAAGAATTCCTCTATGGGGTTGAGGAATGAGAGTAAGGTGGGAGGAAAAGAGACTCCATTCTGGGATGGGCTGCAAACCACTCTGACTGCACGGGAGTGATGAAATGCCACATTGTCCCATACAATCATAAATGTTGGCTGATTCCTTCTCTCCGCATCCCTTTCCTCACCTAGCACAACCCTTCCATAGAGATCATGCAGGAACGCAAGGAGCCGTTCAGTGTTGTATGGCCCAATTAGTGGTCTGTGTAGCAGCAGTCCATCAGTGGATATTGCTGCGCACATTGTGATGTTGGCACCCCTCTGGCCCGAGACATTCACTGTGGCTCTCTTCCCAATCACATTCCTCCCTCGTCGCCGTGCTTTGGCCAAGTTGAAACCTGCCTCATCCACAAAGATGAAAATGTGGTGTGTTTGCCTGCCTTCAATCTCCATGACTCTCTAACATAAATCCACATGGCAACATAAGCTGTTACAGTAGTAAATTTGTATAATTGTCTTTGTGTGTTTGGTTTTGTTCAAAAACAGATCTGTATTTTATTCTGATCTTACTTGGACATACTGGTTCCTGAGTTGCTTGACATGTTCAGAGTTCCTCTCAAAAGGCACAGTGTACAACTGTTTCATCCTGACCTGATGTTTTTTCAGGACTCTAGAAATTGTTGTTATGCTTACACTGTGAATATTTGCAAAAGTAACGTTGTCTGCCAAGACTCTGTCTAATTTCAGTGAGTTTTATCCCATTGTTTCTGATGACCATATCAACAATGGCAGTTTCCTGCACATCAGTGAACATCCGTCCTCTCCCTCCTGTGTGAGGTGACCGTTGAGTCCTAAGCAGAAATGCAACAACAATTACACAAAAGCTTATTTACTTCTGAAATGTGCAAATGCCCCTGCAGAATACAAGTTACCTGTTGATTTGCTCTAGCAATAGATGCCACTGTAGAGCATTGCAGATTTGGCTGCACTCTCTGACCAGCCTCTCTCATTGAGTGACCATGATTTACTACATGATCAATTACAGTAGCTCTGATCTCATCTGAGACTACAGCTCTTGATCTTCCTCTTATTCTTCTTCCACCACGCATACGTATTCCTCGCCCCCTCCCAGCCACTCTTCTTCCTCTTTCAGCCACTTCTCCATTTCTGGCTGGGTCCATGTTTACGTCACAAAACAAACCTATTCAGCAGTTGTCTCCTTTTGTAATGAAATTGAAGGAGTAACACCTGTGTAGAGGTTCATCTACAATGGGAATCAGCTGTGGCTGGTTAAACTGCATTTTTAGATTTAAAATATGTTTCAATAAAATATTGCTGTTGAATTTTGCTGTCTTTTCAAGTTTTGCATTGTGTTATTGTTTTGGCCATAAGTTTAACAGTTTTGAAAACAGTATGTAAGCACATGCAAAATGTCCTGTACAAAGATTTTTGGCAGTTGTTGTATCTGAGTGAGAAAATAATTCATGAAATTTGAGAGATGTAGTCATTGAATGCATTTTGTGCCAAAACAATGATAACTGATCCTCAGTTTAGCCCACATAGACTTCTGTTGTGCTCACTGTGTGAGGAGTTTTGCAAAAGTGATCTAAGTATTGAGAAATGTGTCCTAGCGTCTGTAAAAAACTGTAATGCCATGGAAATGTCTCTCTCTCTCTCTCTCTCTCTCTCTCTCTCTCTCACACACACACACACACACACTGCTGGCACCCATTTCATTGGGTGACAGCAGATCAGATTAATTTTGATAGACATACTAATATTATGACATCTGTGTGACGGCGTGTGTTTGTTGTATTTTTAGTCCATCAGAAGAAAAATAGTTTAGATGTCTTGAACATAATTAATCCCAAATTCAGAATAACATATCTTGTATCTTTGGAAACTCTTAAATCACCTATAAAACTAGTACAGAATTACACTCAGCAGCCACTTTATTAGGTACACTGTGCTAGTACTGTTTTGACCCCCATTTTGCCTTCATACCTGCCTTTATTCTTTGTTGTACATATTGAACACGCTATTATAGAAAATCCACATTGACATGATAGTATCACACAGTCGCTGCAGATGTGTCAGCTGCACATCTATGATGTGAGCCTTTACAATAAATCCCAGAGGTGTTCCACTGTTATCTGGTGACTCTGTGCAGTGAACTCACTGTCATGTTGAAGAAACAAGTTTGAGATGATTTGAGCTTTGTGACATGATGCACTATCCTTTCCAAAAACCATCTCAACATCAAAGGAAGGACATAATCAGCAGCCGTATTCAGATAGACTACCCTGCACACCTTGGTTGTAGCAAGCCTTTACAGGTGTTACTGTCAAGTCTTGACCAACTCTACCTGCTTAAATGCCCTGGCTGGTTAAATATTTGCACTAATGAGGTTTTGAACAGGTCGACCTAAACAAGTGGCCGGTGAGTATAAAAGTCCTGACTTCTACAGGCTAAGGTGACTGATTGACCAACACTGCCATCTAATGGTAATCAGAGGAAGCACAAGGCATTTGAGGAAAAGCAGAAGAGGAAGAGGATACTGAAGACACAACGCATGTCTATGTGTAATAGTTCAGCGCAAATCCATCTGAATCACCTCAATTGTTCAGTTCCAATTATTTGTCTACTGTATGTACTATTTGTGTATTTGTATGTATGTTGTAATGCGGTCTGTTTTAAGGTGAGAACTAGCATACAGAATTACATTATGTGACTGCATAATGACAATAGAGAATCTGTCTCATAAGGTTTCCTAACTACCTCTGACAACTGACGGCTCTGGCTGCTCATCTTCAAGCTGCAGCTGGGATCTCACAGTGCTTTATCTGACTAGAACCACTGCTGTTAGCTCACAAGTTAGCATATTAAACAATCTGACATATATCAGTGTGGAGCATGTGTTCAGTGCCCTTTAGTGCCAAACCTTGAGTATCCCCCCAAACATTCTGTTTTCTTAGATCAGGAACTAAAATTAAAAATTCATGAGGACAATGCAACAATTTGACAAAAACCAAAATAATTTATTATTTTCAAACCCAGAGGCAATTTGTGGTTACAGTCATAACAGATAACTGATGTGCATTTTACACATAGTGTACACTACCACTATCAACACAATGCTAACACTACACTACCTCTACGACTACATCCATTACTCACTTGAACTACCACTTAAAGTAAGACTATCCATAATATCAAAACATCAGTACATCAAAAGAAAAAAAAAGAAAAACGAAACAATACATTTGCACTTGTAGCACCATTCACTGCATTACACTACAGATGAAAAGAATAATTTAAAACTTGTGTGGGCTACTATAACATACTTCACAGGCTTGTGTTTCCATGTGCCTCTCTCTGAAAGCCTGGAAGAGGCAGTTTCTTTCAGGACCACTATAGCTGGCCACTTGTGCAATAATTTGTGCCTAAAGAAATTCTCTGTGTAGCATCATAGCATGGTTCTGAACCATGGTTTTTGTGTTCTGCTTCTGATTTAGGGGAGTTGTTGCACTGTTGCATAAGAAAATGACAGAAAAACAGTACACATATGAATGACAGAGATCTTTTTTAACTTAGAAAGGGACGGGACCATAGTAGGCGGTGTACGCGGCCACAATGCCGGAAGTGTCGGCCATCTCGTCGCAGGCAACGTTCAGCTCACACACCTCTCTGAGGCTGAAGGGTGGTGGAGAGAAATGGTTTTAGATGGTGCATGTATGTACCGCATTTTACTTATGAATATTGACTTTTGTAGCAAGAAACTGCAAAGTGAAAGAAAACGGCTGTACCTTTCCAGCTGCAGAGGGGAGAGGTTACCAGCTGGAGCGGCTCTTCGGCTTCTCAGAAGAACAGCGGCCAGATCTCTCTTCATCACCACTGGATTGGCTGAAGAGTCAAACATTGCAACTTTAGACTTTTACTTTTTTCACGTTTAAATTCTAAAACTATGCAAAGCTTCTATCAAACAAATCTGCTACCCACCCTCAGAACTGGCTGACTCTGAGGAAGATGAGGATGAGGATGATGATGAAGAAGAGTCAGAGCCAGAGTCTGATGCAGAGGAGTCGGACTCAGAGGACTCGGAAGATTCAGAGGACTCTGAAGACTGTGAGGACTCAGAGGATTCAGAGGACTCTGAGGATGATGAATCGGATGCTGAAGAGTCTGAGGAAGAGTCAGATGAGGCGGAATCGGACTCAGAGGAGGAAGAGGAGTCGGAAGCGGAGGAGGAATCAGAAGCGGCAGGGTCAGCAGGTGCAACATCAGCAGCTGTGTCGGCATCGGGGTCCACGACAACCTCGGGTTCCACCGCTGATGAAAACAAACAATGGCATACGTTAATCGTACTGTAGGTGCTCACTTCGCCCCTAAAAAGGTCGAGAACGATTCTCAGCTTCACAGCATTAACAAGAGTTTGTCCTTACCTCCCATGGACCAGCACACTGAGAGAAGAGCGCAGATGGAGAGGAGAGTTAGAGCCTTCATGATGTCTTGTAGTTAGTGTCTCCTTGTAGACAACTCGATTCTTTTACAGCTTCTTCTTCTTCTTCTTTGCTTTCCTCTGACGGCTTGTTCTGTTTCTTTCTCCCAAGTCGAGGTCAATATATACTGTAGTCCACCTCTCTTGTCAGACCAGACCCACACAATGAGATAATCCTCTGATTGGCTGGGGAATCAAATGTCACCGTTTCCGTTTCCATTTATCATGAAAACTCACATAAACATCCAAACAGCTCCTGGCACAGAGTCCAAAAACTCATCCAACAGCCACAGCCACAAACATTTCTGGCATTTGACATTACGTACAGTACATGGCAACACATGTAAACCTGTGAGTACGAGCATATGTTGACAGAATGATGGATGAATTATTCCCTACACTCTTTGTGGAAGTGCTGTTTTCTCCACAACGTGCGCGTGTGCAAATATGCATTTTTCACATACAAAGAAAAAAACTCATCAGAAATAGTTAAAGATAACTTTTGAAGAACTTGAACGACCTGTAGATCAATTTTGAGTTAAATGTCTGAATAGAGATCTCAAAATACTTCCTTTCTCTTGCTTTTGGATAAACTCCACAATATATATATATATATATATTTAGTAATATTTTCTCCAACAAAAAATGCAATTTTTTTTTAAGGCAAAACTAATCATTTTTTATATACTTGTCTTGTTTACCAGTCTTATACATCCCCTTCAAATTCCTTTAAGTCCTGATCCGTCATCGCTGAAGTATAAATAATACAACAAACCCTGAAAGTCCAAACTGGTGCTATTACAAGATTTCTATAAAATATCCTTAACATTTAATTGGATTTTAATCCAGACGACCCACTGCAGGGCTGCCTCTTTAACATCAAGGTTGCCAGGTCTGCCATTGCTGTTATGTTTCTATATTCCTTGCCCCAGATGTGATCTCCCACCCACACAAACCCCAAACTATAGTCTGAGCCTACCACAACCTACTAATCGAGTGACACGGAACAGCAGTGAGCCTCATTATGCGACAGAGCTTAATTAGAGTGTTGCAGAGTCCCACTCGAAACCGCAGTCAAACGCTATTTACAGATCCATCTCGGCCCAGGTCCTGGAGAGATCCAGTGCACGGCTATGGCTTACCAACACCAACCAGCGGCCCAATGCACAGTGTCAGTCAGCGTATTTCAGCATATAGAGAGATAAATTTAGACAACCCCCATGTGTTGGACGCACAGCGTTATGCACGCGGGTTTGGATGCAGTTTTCTGTTTGTGCGATATATTCGAGTGCGGCTTTGGTGGCTTGTATATTTTTAAAAAAGGTATTGGAGTTTGCAGCTTTGACCTAAACCATATTGCATCTTAAATACTGTGTAGATAACCAAACTTTCACACACACATATCACTTGACTCGTGTATATACATATTTATCTCAAAGAGCCCCGAATGGCTTCATTTGTCATGTAGTGAGCCAGATCCAGTGGTGCAGAGTGACCTTGTTGTCCTTTGTGCTTCGTAGTCTAGCGTTATTCCTGGTGTCTAGGATTTGTTTTGGACTTCATGCCATGTAATTTCAGTGTCTCGTCCAGTGTCCATTTTTGTGGATTTTTGTGGATTTAGTACTCGGGGGACACAGTTGGAGAAAACAATTGTGATAACATCCCCGAGGAGGCAGGAAATGCAGCAGACACAGTTCCTCGTTGCTGCCGCATCCTGGCTTTTAATTAATATCATGTAGACATCAGGTAACGCTCTCAGTTTTTCACAGTTGTCCCAGCTCTTGTGCATCTAGCAGATTTAAATACAACTAAAACATGTGATAGCGACTGTACTGTGTATGATCACAGCAGTCAAGTCATATCAGTGATGAGCATCTTTTTCTAAAGCAGATGATGTAATATCCTCACAAGTCAAATGTCATCATTTTTCCCTTTTTTCATATTTTTCTTTAATTTAAGAACTTCCTACAAATGTATTTTTAAATCACATCCCCTGAGATACATAATGTTTCAGGGAATGATTTCGGCATTCCAAAGATTTTTTCATTCAGTTTTCATGCTCCGAGCTACTGGAACAATCTATCAAATGATCTGAGGCCGAACTATGAAGCACTTCCTCACCCTGGCTTTTGATTACATCGTCTTATCACTAAAATTTTATTTAGTAAATGATCCGTTACGTTGTTGTTATTGGAACTTTTTTGATAAATCCAATGATTTTTCTCTGTTTCATTGTACTTTTCCATTGTCTATTTGCACATGTATGATTATCAGTATATTTAGTCATATCATAACCAGTAAAAATACAAAAAAAAAAACTTACAAAGAAACTCTTTTGAGAAAACGACATAGAGCATATGCTGTTGCATATTGACTTTATCGCAAACACATTTTACTGCTAATAGTTAGCAGTGAATTACAATATCAACAAACAACTAAAAGAAAAGTCAAAGAAACAATAGTTGAATTACAAAGTGATTCATTAAGTATGTAAATAGTAATAAGCAATAAGTATTAAGTAAAAAAAAAGGTAAATTAATTTTCAGCCTGTGGGGCTAAATTTAAAAACAAAACAAATTTAAAAAAGCACAAAGATCTCAATCAGAAAATGACCTCTTCACATTTGGTCTGAAGATATGCTCTCACGTAGAGAAATAAATTCCTGAGAAGTTATCATTTCCCTTTTTTAAGCAGGGACAATTTCTCGTTATTGTCAGTTTGCTGAAATTTTGTTTCACCTTTCAAAGGAAAATATCTCTAACTACAAGACGGTCAGTTTTTGTTCTTGTAAATACTTCCACGACACTTCAGTGGGGTTGAAATCTGGAATTTCTTTTCTTGGCTAACCATCATTTGCTTCTCTTTGAGCTTTGTGTAGTTTACACAGAATCAGTATCTAGTAAAGACGTCTATATCCATCAGACAGATGGCCTCATGGGTGATGGGTAAGCAGAGCCATTCTTACTGGAACTCTTATCCATACCAGCTTTATTCCTGTTGCATGATGCACATGCCTCATATCTTTGCAACAAACAACTTTCAAATGACCAGTTAGAGGACTGTATTCAGCATTTTTTAAAACCATTACCTCAGGCTGCGTGTGGAAGCTCGGAGAAAAGCATGACATTTCCTTTTGTTCGTGTTGTGTCTGCAGTAAGGTACCTAAAATACCCATAATATATTTCAGCAACATTTAAATATTACAGTGTAACATCTGAAAAGAGTAAGGAACTGTCGGACACGGTGCTGTTATACAACAGTGTTACCGCAAGAGCCAGTTCTAGCTGTTCCTTTAGTATATTAAACAAACAAAAAACAACAAACAATTAGCAGTAAAAATTATCCAGCTTAAATAAAAGCAAAACAAGTTTTTTGATTTTTAGCAGTTAAATTTTAGTTGTGCTTAGACACAAAATTTAAAATTACATTATAATACTGGACATGGATTTATAATGAAGCAGCTATGTTATTACATCCATCCATCCATCCATCCATCATTTTCTGCCACTTATGGGAGTTTGGCTTGGGGGGGTGGGGGGGTGGGGGGGGCAGCAGTCTAAACAGAGGCCTTCTTTCTCCCCTGTCACCTCCTCAAACTGTCATGGGAGAACAGTGAAGCATTCCCAAGCTAGCTGTAAAGATATAGAGATATATCTCGCCTGCATTTATTGGGTTTCTCTTCCTATTTGGACATGGCTGAAAAACCTTAAGAGCAATGCTGCGGGAAGTACAGTACAGTAACCCCTGCAAATGCAAAAAAACAGATAAATGTATTTTAAATTTCAAAAATGATTCGTGTCATTATTTAGGGTTAGGTTTAGGTTTTGGTTAGCTGCACACACATAGGTTATTGTGTGTGTATGCACATCTTGACTGCTGTGTCTAAAGAAAACTCGTAGTTGAAAGACTGGTATACTTTTTAAGTGTTTCATAATCAATTTGCTCACCTGTGTTTCTGCCTCACATGTGTTGCACTAACCGTGCGCGCACAAACACTCATATATTCAGCACCCCCAGTTTCAAGCCCCTTCAAACAGTTCTGCCCAGGAGATAATCCTGCAGGCATCTTAGATGCTAAAATGCCTCAGCTTCCTTCGTTTGATGTGGAGAAGAAGTGTCTCTATTCTGAGGCGCTACTGACTGAGCACCTCACCCTATGTCTAACAGATGGCCTGAAACCTTTTGAGGGAAGCTTGTTTCTGCTACCTGTATCTGTGATCTCATTCTTTCTGGCATACAGTGCTTGTTTCCATAACTAAGGGTACAAACATAGATCAACTGCTAAGTCATCAGCTTTCCTTTCATGCTCAGCTCGCTTTCACCATAACAGATGGCAGTACTTGCATCACTGCTGATGCTGCAACTATCTGAATGTCAATCTCCAGATCCCTTGTTTCCTCCCTCATGAACAACCACCTGAGACACTTTAGGCAGCAATTTATTCCCCACCCAAAGTGGATTCTTCACCGTGTTTGGGGGAGAACTATGGCCTTAGATTGCTTCACACTTGGCTGTAAAGTGCCCCAGTGCAAAATGAGATCCTGAGACCACATCCATCTCAGTTACACCTAGAAATTCTTTTCTAGGTAGTAGTCCAGCTGCCATCATGAATGAGTTTAATTTATTGTTAGCAATAAAAACTAAATTTACACCTCCTCTCTCATGTCTACAAGGGGAGGCTGAGGCTTCCAAGGGAGGGTGAGAAGTGTGATCTCCCTGAACTTTGTACACACCTTCTTAAAAATAGGGGCCACCACCAATCCAAGGGCAAAGGGACTCTAGGTCTTAGGGCCCCTGTCACCAGAGTTTATATAAAACTCAGTGACCCCAGCCACAGGCATACCCCTTGTCTCCATACCCTGCTTCCTCTATGGAAGGTGTGCCAGTGGGATTGAGGAGATCCTCAAAGTATTTTTTCCACCACCTGACTGTATCCTCAGTTAAGGTTGACAGCAGTCTGCCCCCTCTGCATACAGAGTGGGTGGGAAGATGCTTTCCCCTTCACTGACTAAAAATTTGTAAGAGTTGTGCAGAGGATGGAGCTTTTATTTCATGGCATCACGAAACTTCAGCAA